AAAAAATTGAAAATTTAGAATGAAAATTTAAGATTAATCATATAATGTATGTTATATTATTATCAATTAAGTCACATTATTAAATAAGTTATAATAAATAATATTATGAATTAAAAATAAAAAATTAATTATTAAATAATATAAAATTTATTTTTTAATATTTTTAATAATATAATTCATATTACACTATTAATTTTAATATTAAATTTTCGTTTTATTTACTATTATTTATTTAGATTGGAGGTGTATGTAAACGGAGACGAGGTGGTAAAAAAGACAAATTGTAAACTCTTAAGCAGACAGAAATGAGATTTGTCAGCAGATGGGGACAAGCAACTATTTAGCAATTAATTGTGAAAAGAAGAGAAGTCTTCTCTTCCTTTTGGGGTCCACGTTTAGCTTTTTCCTCTTTTGTTTTTTATACTATTTAGCTTTCTTCATTGCAAAACATTCGAATCATACTTTGCTAATAACATCCCAAGAAACTACCCTTGTGTTTAAGCATTTTTGTGTGTCTCTGATTGGATCTGAAGTGGAAATTATTATAAGTCAACTTCATGACTATACCATTTTACCTTGTGGTAGATTTGGGACCATCCTTAGTGGCTACTGGCCTTAATGGATGTTGATATAGCAGACTGATTCAAAATATTCATATTCTATAACAATCAAAGAGAGATGACGCTTTGTGCAAAATAGCTTCCTTTGTGGAACGTTTCTCCAAAGATTATGTAACAGCATAATTTCTGCTTCAAGATTATGTAACAGCATAATTTCCGCTTCAAGATTATGTAACAGTTTCTATACCAATCAGGAGAGGATGAGAACGTGATAATGTTGGAACATGAGTGGGGGAGGAAGGCAAGGCCTACCTTTGAAGAGGATGATTAAGGAGACAGGCAAGACCACTGGAAAAAACACAGGTAAGGTGGAGAAAGTTGATACGGGAAGGAAATGATGTTGGTGCGAAGATCTCATATGAGAATTAAGGTTGTTTTCGATTTCCAGAAGTCAATTATAGACAGGTATTTTACGATGTTATTTTGGTATGAGTTTCTTTTCGAGATTTGTCTGCTATGCAGAGGCTTAGAATAAGGAAATGAGAGACAATTTATCCGCTGATACGCCCCTAGCTAAGGATTAATGGCGGACCACTACAGATTAGTTATTTCCTATAGGAGGCCTCGACCGTGTAGCCCGACCAATAACTGCAATCTAAGACACATGAAGGTGGCCCAGGAAACAGGGTCAGAAAAAAGGTATAGAGGAAAGAGGTTGGGAAAGGGATAATGCCAGGTAGAAGGAATCTACCTCCTTGATGGCAAAAGCATCGTGGATGGAGAATGTTGAGATATGGATAAGGGGCAAATTACATTTTAGCATTAAAAGAGCATATACACAAGAGCTTGCTCATAATCTCCTAGAATGCTAAAATATAAGTTTTCCCTCTTAACAGAATTTGAAATTTGTGAGTGAAAATGTTAGTTAAAACAAGAATAAGGATTTATTTTTATGTAAATTTTACAAATTATATTTATATAAAATTTTAATTATTTATCTTTTTATTTTTAATAGTTAAAATTTATTCACATTTATTAAAAATTATTTTTTTATCTAAAAAATTGGATAAATTTTAATTATTAAAAATAAAGAAATAAATAATTAAAATTTTATGTAAGTATAATGTATGAAATTTATTAGTAAATATATCCTTTTTTTCATAAACAACTCAAAAAATAAATTACATACCCCGCAAAATCCCTCTATGGCTCGATCGCACTCAAATATCATTAGCAAAAGTTAACTTTTTAAAGGCGTTTTCAATTTCTCACTTTCACCCATAGAGAAATAACCCTCTATCGCACCCAATTAAGGCTGAGTGTTTTTTGGTTTGAAATTGAAAGTACTTAATTTTTTACCCGAACCAAAAAAATTTTGTTTAATTACTTAAATAGTTAATTCAATTTTAAACCAAATTTAACCAAACTAAAGTTTTGGTTTGATTATAGATATGACTCTAAAACCATAAGAGTAATGATAGGAAGGACAAAAATTTAGAATGAAAATTTGAGACCAATGATGGAGTTTATGTTAGTTATTAAATTAGTTGATACATACAATATTACCGTGTCAAAAAAATTAAGGTTGAATACTTTTTTGGGTCTCTCTACTATTGAAAAAAGTCTTTTTTTGGTCATTAAATTGAAAAAATCTCATTTTTGGTCCCTAAAGTTTTAAATCCAACCCCTTTTTAATCCCTTCGTTAACTTTTGCTTGCGTGGCATGTTATCTTGATGGGAACATTTGACGTTGACATTCCACTGTGTAAAGGTGTTGACGTGGACTTAATGACACCCCTCCATATCACTCTCCTCTACGCGGGAAAAGAAAAAAACTCTAATTGATGGGACCCACATGCTAAAATGTGCAATAAATATAAGTCGATTGTCCCTGAACCCTACTGGACATAACCCTAAATTCTCCATTTTTTTTCAATTCCCTATCCAAAAATCATCTTCCTTCTTTTGAAATTCTTGTTTTTCATTCATAATCAACCCTTTACATGTGAGATTGGTCAAGATATTGTTCTAATGGAAGGTGGGCTTTCGTGAAGCAACTCATTCATTGATTCTACATCAACTAGCGGCTTTCTTGGAAAAAAAATATGTTTGTAAGTGTGGTTTGGATGCTGTTTTGAGAACGTCCTTGACTTACCAAAACATGGGTAGAAGATTTTGTTGATGTCCTAAATTCGAGGTGACTTGTTCATGTTTAGAACAAAAATTTTTGAAAAACCCCTAAACTACTAATTTCATGCTATTTAGGTTGGAAAGGCTGGGAAGGCTAGGAATGCATGCAATTTCTTCCACTTTCTTGATGGTGATGAGGTGATTGAGCGAAAAACCAAGGATCTATTGCTGCGACTTAAAGATAAGCAAATTAGGCTCGAGAAAGAGATTCAAAGTTATAAGGAAGAAAACGAAAATCTTATGGCTGAAAAGGGGAAACTATGGCAGGAAAATGCGGACTTCATGTCTGAAAATGGGAAGTTTTTGCAAAGAAATGGTGACTTGAAGGTCCAATGTGCGACAATCGCTAAGAATATCAAAGGCTTGGAGAAGAAAGTGAAGAGAAGTGAGAAGATATGTGTTAGAGCACTTATAAGTTGTTAAATATTTTGTGTGATTTGTATTGTCTATCTTATTGTTTCCATGTTTATTGGGTTGCATAGATTGCATTAACATTGCTAGGAAAATCATAGGATGGGAGACTAGTGCCTTTTGTGCATTATCTACCTTTTTATGTAAAAGGAATGTAATTTGTTCCCTATAAATGGCACATGATCTATTATATTTATATTCAATGTACAAGTTTAATTTTATACTAGCAAATACACAACAAAATGTCATTCCCAACCAAAACACAAGACTTTTCAATCAAGAACAATTTTTTATTCCAAAATATTTGCACCATTAACATCAATTTGGATATCAAAGGTGTACCAATATACATACAAGTTGTCCTATGAAGCCATCATATGCACAACGGCATATACACCATATACAAAACAAGAATTCTCATGAAGTTGCCTAAGTTTACATGTAATGATAGGTTAGATGACAAAAAACCAAAAAAAAAAAAAAAAAAAAAAAGAGCTTCATTAAAAAGAGCTTCATTTCTAATACACTGGTCAACTTCAAATGACAAAAACACAATGAACGACACCTTCACTCCCTAAGACCTAACTTGCCACCTTTCCCTTGTCTATCTTTGGCCGTTGCGAGCAATTGACTACCAGATTTCTTTCTCTTGGCCTCACCTCTCTTATTTTGTTCCTGTGGTGAGGTAGATGCAATAGCTAGATTGTCTTGAGGTTCTACACTTAGGAATGCTCCATGTGTGGGGGCAGTAGGAGTTGTAGTTGATGAGGTTGATCTTTTCTTTAGCCTTTTCTTGCTCTTTGCTGGTTGGGAAATTTTTTCCTACTGCATTGAGGATTGGTAGTATTCTGAAATAAATAGTAATAAAAGCAAACATGAATTTAAAATAAACAACCCTCACCACAATAGGCCTTTTATTTGACTTTTTGTTTTCTCTTTTCCTATTCTCTCCGATTCTTCACTTTTGGACAGGTCTTCTCTTTATTAACCACTTGACTTGCAAGCTCATCAACTTGGCTCACTGGGTTGTTGTCATTCAAGTTCTCAGTGGTTTCAAAAGCTTCATTGTTTCCAACTTCCTAAATAACAATAAAACCAATTTGTCCAAAAAAAAAATAGATACAAACATAATTTGTAACATTTTACATATATAAAAACCTTAATAGAATTCTTAAGCTATAATGTTCACACTTATAGTGTTAGGAGGCTGTTCTTTACAAGACCTTGAATTGTGCCTTCTTTTGAAGCATTTTTGACAAGTCATCACCCTTCCTTTTTTAGAGAGTGATGTCTGCCCATCCCATTCTTCTAACACCTTTTTTTTTTCATTTTGGTCGGCTTGGCATTTTCCTAGGCAATGGTGGCTGAATTGGGGGCATTTTAGTTTCCTTTCATTGCGTCATCCCCTCAATACAAGGAACTTCATATTCGTAACTTGCGAAGAACATATGCTTGCTATACCAGTGGTTGACAAAGTCTTCATCCTTTTCCTTCCTCAATTTAATGACATTGACAGCATGCTTACAAGGTATGCTTGTCATGTTCCAACACCTACAAGTGTAGGTTTTACTGTTTATATCAACAATAAATTTATCCTTATCTTCTTCTTCAACCTCATAACCAATACCATGAGGCCATAGCACCCTACATCTCTTATACTTATTTTGTTTCTTTTTTTTTTTTTTTTTTGTAGGAAATGAAGAAAATTTCAAGTAAATGGGGTATAGGGAATGATTTAATAGATATTTTTCTTTATTTTGTTCTAATTTGTATTATGTATTATTTAATTTTTACTTATATGGTTGTCATTGATATATATTTTTATTTTATTCTTTATTTTCAGTTATAATTATTGTTGTTGATTTTTTTTTAAATTACCAATATTATATTGTACTTAAAATTTATTTTATCTAAAATTTTTATTATTTTAAAATTTTTATAAGTTGCATACCTAAAATTTTAGTTTATCTGAAATGAAAATAATTGGTATTAATTTAATTGTTCTTGTGTAATTATAATAATTTATCACATAAAATAAGATTGAAACTTATTTTTATTAGTGTTTACACCTAAAATAAACCAATGAGAGAAGGCCACATGTCAAGTTGAAGCCTAATTATCAAGAAAAGTTAGCAGGTTGGATTTGGGCTGGGCTAGATTACAATTTAAAGGCCCAGACGGAATTTTAAAGAAGCTAGATTTTAGGTGGCAGAAGATAAAATAGCTTCTGGTATTTGAGTTTGATTTAAGTTAGGAAGTTGAGAGTTTTTAGGAGGATGTTATCTCTAGGGTTTTATTGGAGATAAGATTGAGTAAAAACTGTCAACTGCCAGACAGTTGCTAGACATGGAACCTCCACTACTCGATCATGGTGAGAGAGGGTCGAGAAATGTGGAGGAGGTTTCCCAACATCGAAGAAAAGAAAAACAGGAGGAAGAGATCAATTCTAGACAACCTGCCCCTACACACACAGACTGCCCAGAGCATGTTTTTCAACTTTCAGACTGCTTTTTCCAGATTCCAGCATAGTTTTTAGATTAATTTGCAAGATCTGTTCTTGTTCATAGCCTTAGGTTAGCTTGTTCCATCCTTGTTCATATTTCCTTTCAAAGATTTCATTTAGGTTAGTTTTTAAGCATTTGGAAGCAATTCAACCTTCAAAACGAGTCTGCCCTGTTGATTTGGTTAGTTTCTCTTTCTTTTATGGATTCATCTATGTTATTTGTTCATGTAATTAAGTTGAATGCTTTCTGCCTTTGTTCTTTTATTTCTGTACAACAACCAGACATGCAGTTTATTTAATTTCAATTTCCAGATTTAATTTTATAAGTTTCCAGACTTTAATTATTTCGTAGATTTTCCTTCAGTATTAGTTATCAAGTAGTTTAGCTATTTTTATTTTAAATATGCAAGTAATTAAGTTTAATTGTTATGGATTGCGTAGTAGAAGTCGTTGTCTGTGATTTTACATTTTCTATTGTTTGCGAATTTTATTTATATGGCATGTTGTTTTCTTTTATTGATCTTATGTTAGATTAGTTACCTTATGATTTTATGTTAATTTTAGGATTTGTTGCTTTTATTACACTTTTGTGTTTGTAAAGTCCTTGGAGGCTTCTGAGGCAATTAGTAACCCATTTTGTAGAATTTCACCCTCTGGTTTGCAATATCGTCTGGGGTGCAATTTATTTCATAGACATTCTTTCCAACCATCCCATTGGAGGTCGACCGTTGGAAAGAAGAAGGGTCGTCTGAAAAATCCCGTTTTCTTGTTTTCAGACAAGGCAAGTGGCATGCCTAACATCCAAACTCATGTGGTAAAGGCCAGCTGAAGATTTTTGGGGAAACAATTAGTTTTATAGTTTAAATATAATGTAATTAATATTATACATGTTTTTAGTTATTATATTAAGAAATTAGTACCAAATCATTTTATTTCTTTCTAAATATATATTTTTTTATTTGTAAAATATAATTTTGCATTTGGTAATATTGTGTAATTAATAAGAAAAATAAATATATTTTATTTAATTATTGTTTTGTTTTATTCCTTTTTTTTTTTTGTTAAAAACATTTATTTCAGACCGAAAACTGTCTAAATATCATTCAATCAAAGGACAATGTGGGCAACAAACATTTCAGAATTTACATCTCAGTCCAATATATTCAAACCGAACATGGTCTGAACATACTTCAATTTGATGACAATATGGGTTGTATATATTTCAAAATTTACATATGAGTCCAATATATTCAAACCGAATGCGGTTTGAATATACTTCAATTTGACGACAAATGGGTTGCATACATTTCAAAATTTACATCTGGATCCAATATATTCAAACCGAAAATGGTCTGAATATACTTCAATTTGACGACAATATGGGCTGCCTATATTTCAAAATTTACATTGAGTCCACTATATTCAGACCATTAATAGTCTAGATATAGTTTACTCAAACGGACATATTAGCCCTATAATTTTTAAAAGTTGCAATTAAGTCCAGTATATTCAGATGGAAACCGATTTGAATATATTTTCTGTAACCACTTTTCCCTAAATATTTAGACCGTTTTTGGTCTGTAAATATGTTATTATTTTATTATGTTCATTATTTCGGGATCGTTAACGATCTGCAAATTTCAATTTTTAAATCACGGCTAACATTTTTTTACCAAAATTTACAAACCATCTTTGGTTTGGATAGGCTAAATATACGAACCGATTATTTTTCAATCCGTATATTTATTATTTCATTCCATGTTTTTTCAAATCAACTATATGGACCAAAATTGGTGCGTATATAGTATTTCGGACTAATTTCTTGGTTATTCGAACCAAAATTTTGGTCTAAATATGCCTTTTCTACAGTTGTGCTTAGGGCATGTTTGCAAACAGCCCTAATCCGTTTACTGTCAATCTTCTTCCATTTAATATCCCTCCTTTGCATCATGTTGCATCAATCAACAATGGCTTTAAATTGTGCCTTGCTCACAAAAATCATCCCCAACCTTATATCTAGAAGAGCATCTTCAACTTCTTCGTAAATTGCGTGTGTAGCTCTTGTCCTCGAAGCATGATCAACATCACTTCCATCATCCTCATCAATAGAAATGTAACTATATTCTATATCACTTTGAATTTCATCACCATCATCATGGACTGTTGCAGGATGGGTACTAGGACCTGTTGCATTCACATCTAAATTAATTGAATTCACATATAATATATGACAACATAACCCAAACAAAAAAAAAAATACTACTATGAAAAGACAATGACATACCACTATCATGATAGAAACTAGGTCGTACATTATCCCTTGCAAATTATAACAAAAAGACTTGACCTTCCTTTTGGCCTCCATAGCCTCTTCATCTTCATTATCTATTAACTCAAGGATATCCATAACAGGATCATCATGCCTTTCATCACCTTCTGCCTCTTTGTCCCCATTAAGATCATCATTATGGTCATCAACCACATTATGACTTTTGGATGCACTTGCACATTCCTTCTCGACACCAATTTCATCTTCCTTCTCTAACCAAACACCTTTTGTAGTAAAATCTTGTCTAGATTCATAATAATCCTCAACTACACTCTCCTTTTGGTCTTCCTCCTCACAAACCTCACCATCAACCCCTTTACCATTAGTAGGACCCTTAATTTCAACCCCTTTACCAGCATTATTAGTTTCCTAACTCTTGTTTACATTATCCCTAGGTGCTGGTAAAGCAAGAAATTGCTCAACCATAAAAGGGAAATCTAGGATATGAATTACATATATGTGAACCTTATTGTGAACCCTTAGTATGCCCAAGATTTCTCTAATTGAAGCATCACCTATTACTTGCTTCAAGCCATTACTGAGTGTCTTCCCTGGTTCCAAAAACCATATATGCTCTACCTTGTCTGGATCATAACATGCTATTGAAATCTTTTAGAATAACTCCATCACAGTTAGTTTATCTATGTTCACATGCCAGTCCCAACACTCTCCATCAACATATTTAAGTCCATTATTCTCTATTAACCTACCACCTATATCAACTAACGTCACATGCTTCTCGATCCCCCAATCATCCGATTCAATAATGCAAATAAAATTTTCTATATTTTACATAATAAGTGCATCTCAACGACTAAGCTTACGACAATAAACAATAAAAAATAGCAACGAATTATAGAATCTTATTGCTTCCATACAAGTAAACACACTAACCCATGAAAAACACATAAGGTGGGGACCAGATGTCCCTTTTCAAAAAGCAAGTTAATAAATAAAGATCCAAAAACCCCATTTTACCCACTTTCTTATTACAGTCATTAGACACCAGGACAATAATAAGACAACACCACCCATTAAGCATAACGTTCACACATCTCAAAATAAGACAAAAAGTGTACCCCATTCTCGCTGCCATCTGAATCCCCTTCCAGGTCAATATCTATGATTTCTCCAGCCATTGTTGCTTAGCTTCTCTTCTCATTCAACAATTGATCACAACAAAGAGTAAGAAGACTTGATTGTCAAGCAAATCAACAGAAAAAGAAGAGATAATGCTTTGTTTCGAATTGTTTTTAAGACAGAAAAGGAAATGAAAAAGGAACGATCAATTTTTAAGGTTTAACCAAATAAAATCATTTAAACTTCCCCTTTGTCTGAGATTGGGTTTTTTTGTTCTTTTCTTTCTCGCACAGGGGAGAGTGACATGAAGGGGTGTCATTAAGTTCATGTCAGCACCTTTACACAATGGAGTGTCCACGTCAGATGTCCCCATTAACATAACGTTTCACGTGAGCAAAAATTAATGGAGGGACTAAAAAGGGGTTGAATTTAAAACTTTAGGAGCAAAAAGGGGATTTTTTTTAGTACATGGACCAAAAATGGGCCTTTTTTCAATGGTAAAGAAACCAAAAAGGGTATTTAACCAAAAATTAAAAGAGCCAATCATTAAATAATATAGGGTCTGTTTTTAATATTTTAAATAACATAACTTATGTCAGGTCATTAGTTTTAGATTTTAATCTCAAATTTTGGTCTCATTTATCATTATTCAAACCATAAATATTGAAAAAAAAAATCCACCAATTTAATTGAATTAATAAACAAAATTTTAGATTTAATTAAGAAAACAAAAATTACAAAATCATAATTTTGATTTGTAATTTTTATACTTCATCCAGTTGGATTTAGTTGTTTTAGTTTAATTTTTGCATAAAATTTGATTAGATGTATATATGGTAAATAGATAACAATTAAATTTTTTTTTCCTATATTTAATTCTTATTGAGTATTTTTACGTAGATTTAATTTTTTTTAATTGTCATTTATTTATTATAAAAATGATCTAGTTAATTTACATAAAATTAAGGGATTAAGACAACTAAAAAAGACCAAACGGAGTAAAATTTAGACAGTTTAATTAAATCCAAACCAAACCAAAATTTCAAATTTGTGATTTGGTTTGAATTCGGTCATGTAAATGTTAATAAAAAATTTTGGTTAACTAGAAAAAATTTTAGTTCATTGATCAAATCAAAACCGCCACCCAGCCCTACCGGACTCTAGCTAGTGACATTACTCAGTCTCAACCTATATAATTTGTTATATCAGACTCAAGGAAACCCCCCCTCCCCCTCCCCCCTCTAATATTTCTCATACATAACTCGTCCCCCAACCTTCCCACCACTTCCCGATCAGTGAATTTCAATGACATTTTTCCGAGTCACCTACCTCCTAAGCACCCTCCCAATCCCTTGGGAGCTTTCAGAGAAATTAAGACATAAAATGCATAGGTAAATTATTAAAATAGTGCCGACTTGAGAAAAATAAATTGGACCTCGAGATTGAATGACAAGAGTTCTCCTTTCTATCAATTTGGTACTCAAAATTTTAAATCATGGACGTTACCTATATAATGACATTTGTTTAAAAATATTTACCTCTTTTTTTTGGATAAATAAGAGTCTCTTTAAGATTAATCTTTCTCTACATAATTTTAAAGCACATCTCCTATATACATTTAAAAAAATTAATTTCATCTTAAAATTTTAAATCATAGATCTTACCTATATAATGACATTTGTTTAAGTACTTTGGTTGAGGGAAGAGTGGAGGAGTGAGTTTTTGAACCAAATAAACATAATATTTTTAAATATTACAATCTGATTAATTAAAAAATTCATCTTTTCCCTACCCTTTCCTTTATTATTTTTAAACCAAACATATTATAAATCTAAATCTTAAATTCTATTTGCTAATTAACTTTGTTATAAAGAGATTCGTCACAGCCTCTCACATTTTTTTCCCCCCAAATTATCTCTAAACCAGCAACAGGAACTTTACTTCCCGAGAGAAAAGCAGCCAATTGTATGTTGGTTCAACAACTTCCAAGGATGCTATATACTCCAAGGAGTGCTAAAGAAGCGATGTTAATCACATTCTTTATTAATGGGGCAAAAGCAGCCTATCTTTTGTCTGGTGAATTAGAAAAGGCATACACTATGTGGGCCGTGATTTTCCTTATTTAGAATTCTTTAATGTCGTTGTAACATAATTACTTAATAAATTCATCAACGACATAGTAAATGTGATTGCCCTGAAGAAAAAGAAAAGATTAGGAATCTAGTCACTATATGACCCATAGATTAATGTCTTCTCTAGCCAGCTAGCCTTTACGAGTTACTAATGATCTATGATGTCAAAAAAGTTTGAACTTCGTACAATCTTGTTCTCTAAGGAGTATTAATGTAATTGTTTTTTAATTTGTATTATAAAAGTTCAGATTAAAGGTACATTAATTTTTATTAGAAAATAATAAATTAACTTTATTTTTTAATATTAATATCATGTATATTATTTTCACTGAGCAGTGATCAAATTAAGGTTAATTTTTTTATCTAAAAATTAATAAAAAAAAAAAAAAAGAAGCAATTAATTGCATGTCTAAAATCCTTAATTTATATAACAACTTAAAGCGAAAAGGATGACCAGGGTTTAAGCTAAGAAAGTGGCATTTTAATGGTATATATGCTTATTCTAGTACATTATGAAGTATGAGGTTTTCTTGGGTGGGACTTTAACTTTTGTTGAAGTGTTATTTTAGTAGAGATTTTATAGATGTACTGAATTTGCTTTAAATAATTCTTAGAGAATTTCAAAAATTAATAAAAATCATTAAATTTAAAAACACAATAGCAAAAGCTATTCTTAGAAGTCACAAATTTGTAACTTCAACTTCTAATTTTAACTAAAAAATACTTTAAAAAAAACTAATAGCACTCTTCAGAAATTTGTGTTGGAATCCAGCTTCTATTTTGTTATAAAATCGAAATTTTCAAATTTTGAGCTAATTAGGGACTACAAATATTGTTAAGTTATTTGCCTCGGGAAGAATGTGAAACAGAGGTGCAAATAAAAAGTTGGAACAAAAATTCCTTTTCCCCACTGAAATCCCATCGATCTCTACTTCATTTCTTTTTTCACCTTTTCCCCACCTTTTCGTAGTGCTAGTAAGAATAAGAACTTTAATTTATATAAAGAAATTAAAGAAAGCAACTAAACAAGCATCTTCCTTTGGTGTTTAACTAGAACTATATAACTAAGCAATTGTGTGGTTAGTGATAAGTAAACTAATGATAAATTTTTTAGTAAAAATAAAAAATTTTGAGTTTAAACACTATACTATATACGCTAGTAAAAGGAATAAAATTATAACAAAGAGAAGCCTTCTATCTGCATCCCTTCAAAAAAAAAAGAACAAAAATGAATTTGTGTGATTAGTCACACATTTAACAGAATTAACAGGTAAAATTTTGAGCATATATCACAAGGTGTTCAAAATGCTCCGTGCAGGGAAACCCACTTTCACCATATTTTTTTTGGGCCAACTACATTCTCCATTAACTATACATATTTCTATGTACTTCTTTTTTTTTTTACAGAAATTTATGTGTATTAATTTTTAATTTTTATTTAGTATATCAAATGATTAATTACTTAATTAGTATTTAAAGGTTTAAATTTTTATCTTAACTTTAAATTTAAA